GGAAAGTCCTGAATCTTTGGGGCCTTCAGGATGTGATGAGTCGACATCAAGGTGTCAAACGACTCCATCTATAAGAGCTCTTGGGAGTCATCAGCCTGTTTTGGTCTGGAAGTAATATTGGTAGGTAAGAATCTATTTCAATTTTTTTTCTAATTCAAAGACGACATTAAGAGAAAAACACCACGACTCTATGATAAATATATGCTCAACATGTATCAATGGCAACCAGAATTCCATACTAACTCTCATATATTTAACATATCTGAAATATGGCTCCAAGTCTGAAATTCCCCTTTCTTCACACCTCATCATTTCTTTAATAAATAAAGTAAAAAAAAATGACCTCTTGTGGAAGGAGATAACTTGTTGAGCAGAATATCAATGATAAAGTTCAGGGGACTGCTCGTGTAATTGCTAATGATCTGAAATATAACGATACAACGAACCTTTAAGCGTTGAATATCATAAGGAAAGACAAACAAGACTACACATTGTGCTAAATCAGAATGAGAATTTCTATCATGTGGCAAATTTGGAAGGCAAGAAATTCGAAGAGTTTCAATGTAGAAATTTTTGAATCCAATGATATTGTAAACAAAACTCTTTTTAATTTTCATGAATATGAAAATAATTTGATTCCTACACAATCTTCTACAATTATACTTGCTTGTAATAATGATAGAAATATAATTGCGGCACAAGATGATATTATTTTGTTTGCAGATGCTAGTGCACATAAATTTATGTTAATGTACTATTATTCACTTTAACTGTCACCTAAATAAATCACACCCCCTACCATCCCTTACACTTGCCCATCATGATACCTTACACTTGTACACCTACTTTATGACACACCATACCTTACTTTACACTTGTCCACCATTCCTATCTACTTTCTTTAATATGCACATGCATAATAATGCATACTTGACTAATTTACATAATAATGCATACTTGACTAATTTACATCTTATCTACACATCTTTTTGACTATTTTACGTTATTTACTTTATCTTTTTTGCCCCTTTGTCTGCTATTTGCATCTTATCTTCATCATCTTCTTTTACTCTAAATCGACATCTGGAATTATGTTATCTTCACCATTACATTTCGAACATATGTGATAAGGATATTTATGTCCAATTAATTTGCAATATCTGATTAATAACTCTGTCGAATTGATTGCTATGGTAACCCGCTTCAAGCCTTTGATACCCCAATTCAATATGCTGAGAAAATCATCACTATTGAAGCAATCACAAATTATATAGCGCTGGAGTATGCTAAGAAAAAGTGTTGGACAAAGGTGCAAGTCTTATTATATTCAAAAAATGTGGTGCATATGATACTATAAAGAATTATAGTTTTATGAGAGATAGACACTACTTGTAAAGATATTTGGAAACTTATAGTAACCTATAATTTCGCAAAGTTTTCCATTTCGTTATTACATAAAATTGTTTGACTTTATCAGAAAAGAAACAAAATAAGATATATAAAAGAAATAATTCAAATATAATAAAGAAACGATTCATATACAAATTTTTTTTTAAAAAAAAGGTATACATTGAAGAAACAGATTTTTTGGCCATCAAAGCAAATAAAGAAACATCTAAATCAATGAACCTTCAAAAAAACAAATTGGTATATATCTATCCAAATCTAGAGAGAAAAAAATATTAAGTGAAAACTATAAAAAAAAAATAGATACATAATTTAAACAATGACTAAATTAGTTACAAACTTCAACAATTTAATTTATAGTGCTCCATTTTCCATTCTAACTGAAGAAGATTGTGTGTGAGAGAAGGGGTAAAGAGAATTGAGTGATGAACATGGGAGGTGAGAATGAAGAGAGGGTGGACTGATTTGAAGTTAACACATAAATTAGGGAGATAATTAAGTGGTGGATATATAAGGACTCTATTTTAGGTTAATTTTAAGGAGTGGTGTTTTTTAATGTATCTGATGTCAAATTTGTACGTAATTATTGAATAGTAGGATGATAGGTAATTATTTGAAAGTATAGATAAGATTAATAGATATAGAATGGATATATGTCTAATTAGATAATTCTTTATAATTTTAATGTTTCTCTTATTATCTTACGTAGAGCGTACATATCACCTACATAAATATATTATTATTCCAATTTTAAAAAATTCAATATAATTTTTATTAATTTTCATATAATTTACATAACATTTGATAGATCGATAGAAAATAAGTTATTCATGTATATAATTAATATAATGTTTGGTTGACAATTTAGAAATTCGCTTAACTAGTACATGTATAAGTTATGAATAAATGTATGTATTATTTTATGCATGCGAGATAGAAGGTACAATAGTTAATACATGAATAACTAATTCATACATGACAAATACTTGCATAAAATAACATATAGATTCACTCAACTAATTCATACATTACTAATACATGCATAACTCTAATTACCAACTACCATATGAACCTTAGTGGGATCACTTGGTAGCTCGTTTAAATATGAGTTATGCAAGTATTAGATCCTGCATAAGTAATATTATATTTGGTTGTTGATCAAGAGGTAAATTATTCATGTAAGATTTGCAATTTAGAAACCCACATAACAAATGTATAACTTATAAGTTATAATGAAATCTATGTACTACTGTTTATAGCTAACTACATTACTAATACAAACATAAAATAATACATATATTCACTCATAATTAATTTATACATTACTAATATCCGCACAACTCTAACATGCTACCAAACTACTCCTATTTGTTTCTTGGAATGGTGTTGAAAAATTTGAAAGGAGTGTCAATGCTTGCATCTTAGACCATCTCCAACGCAACACCAAATTTTACACTAAATCCTATTTTGGCGTAACCTTTGGTGTTTTAGTGCTCTAATATCCTTACACTATTTTAGTGGTGAATAGTGTTACATCGAATTTGATGTAACACTACTCATCACACCAAATCTCTTTTCAATTATTTTTTATTATTTATACTCTATTAATTTTTTAAAAATATATATGATAAATAATAATAATAATAATAATAATAATAATAATAATAATAATAATAATAATAATAATAATAATAATAATAATAATAATAAAGAGGGAGAAAAATATAAAGAGAATATTCATTTTTAGTTTAGCGAATTGGAGATGGTTTGTGAGTCCCTCGTGAAAATTAAATAATTTTTTCTCTTTACGTGAGAATAGTTTCTCCTTATTGTGGGGGCATAAGATGTGAATTATAACCTCCGACTATTAAGATAACTAATCACGTTGTCCATAATATTTCTCAAAGTTCAACTTATTTGGCTATTGTTTTTTTTTTTTTTGGCTGCTTCATAAGTCTTATACAAATCTATATTTCTCAAAGTTCAACTTAAAGGTATTCGACTTATTTGGCTATTGTCCTTAGGATGCCTGACGTGATTGCAGATCAACTTCACAAGCTATTCTTATGGAAAATATTTGATGTCGCTATACCGAAAAATGGAAGCGAGAATGGTAGCCACATACATCTAAAGGTCTTAATGAGTATAAAATTAATAAAGACAGGCTTAGAGGAAAAATGGATCAAATTTCGTTAAAAAAATATGTCATATGTTTGCTACTATTGTGGAATTCTAGGACATACACAAAAAGATCATGCTTCTCCGTGAGGGGGATGTACAAAAAGATAATGTTGTGAGAGAAACCAGTTTAACATATGGATGAGGGCTGAAAATCACAAATTTGTTGGGCACCAACGTCCCAAGACGACAATATAATAAAATGGTGCTCCCCTAGCCTCACGAGTGATAAAGGCATGCAGATTGTGAATTGTGTTGAAGGTACTGGATCAAATATTTTACTATTGAATCATAATGGAGTGGACACAAAAAAGGACAATGGAAACAAAGATATTCTCCTTTCTTCACATCACATCATTTCTTTAATAAAGTAAAAAAAAAGACCTCTTGTGGAGGAAGATACTCTGCTAAGCAGAATATCAATGACACAGTTCAGGGACTGCTCGTGTAATTGATAATGATCTGAAATATGATGATATAAACGAACCTTTAAGCGTTGAATATCAGAAGGAAAGACAAACAAGACTGCACATTGTGCTGAATTAGAATGAGAATTTCTATCATGTGGTAAATTTGGAAGGCAAGAAATTCGAAGAGTTTCAATGGAGAAATTTTTGAATCCAATGATATTGTAAACAAAACTCTTTTTGATTTTCATGAATATGAAAACAGCTTTTTTCTACAATTATATTTGCTTGTAATAATGATAGAAATATAATTGTGATACAAGATTATATTAATTTGTTTGTAGATGCTAGTGTACATAAGGAGAAGAAGACGACAAATATTAGTGTGTGGTGGCTATGAATAGCTATGGTAATTCGCTTCAAGCCTTTGGCACCCCAATTCAATATGCTGAGAAAAAACATCACTATTGAAGCAATCACAATTTATATAGCTCTGGATAATGCAAGGACAAGGGTTGGGCAAAGGTGCAAGTCTTATTAAATGTAAAAAATGTGATGCATATGGCACTATAAAGAAGCATAGGAGACAAACACTTGTGAAGACATTTGAAAACTTGTAGTAGCATATAATTTAGCAAAGTTTCTATTTCATCATTACATAAAATTGTTTGGCTTTCTAATTTTTCTAAAGGAATTATAATTGATGCTATGACATCTTATTGTTTGGCTTTCTAATTTTTCTAAAGGAATTATAATTGATGCTATGACATCTTTTTAACTCTTTAAACCTTCTTATGCATTAATACAACTAGCATATTGATTGATAAAAAAATAATAAAAATTATCGAAATAATTAATACTGACATAGTACTGATATTATTTTAATATAAAATTTGATGTTATGGATCGCAAATGCCCCTTAAATATTAGGGACCGATTTGAGTGAAGTTCCAAAAATAAGAGGCTAATTTGTCGACTTCTTTTGGGTAGTAGTGATCCAGTAATTGGGAGCTACCAAGTATTTCTTCCTCTTCACGTAATAGTATAAGCCAATTCCAATTAGTATTTTCATCATTTCTTCAATTTACTTGTAGCGCTTTGCCAGTTTGATCGATTTTGTGGAAGATGGAGAATGCTTCGGTCGATGTTAACCAGCCCCACTCCATGGGCACCACCATAATCGGTGTTACTTACAATGGCGGCGTTGTACTTGCTGCTGACTCTCGCACCAGCACCGGTAACTCAAATCTCATCCCTTCCCTCACTCATTCATCATTTTTCAGATTTTTTAAAATTAATTTGTGTTTTTTCTTTTCAGGAATGTATGTTGCGAATAGGGCTTCTGATAAGATCACTCAGCTCACTGATAATGTCTACGTTTGCCGCTCTGGATCAGTATGATTTCTCTAAATGCCATATTGATATCTTGTTATTTGGTTTAAAAAAATTGGGCTTTGTGGTAAAGGGTTAAATTTGGCACTAATATCTCGTTAAGTAACAGTTACCTGGCATTCTTATTGAGCTAATAGACCATGGTAACATGAATTTTGTTTATCATGTAATTTTTTACTTTATTTAGAATAAGCAAAATAGAGCTGATTCACGAAGTTATGTTTTATGCAACTGTACATTTGGACGGTCTTTGGAAACAAACTATCTACCCCCATAGGTAGTTGTAAGGTCAGTGTTACACTCTACCCTCCCCAGACCTGAATTAGTGGAATTTCACTGAGTATGTTGTTGTTATACATTTGGACGGTCTATGAGTTAAATGTGTAATCATGCTTGGTTTGTGGTTCCTTTTGTTAATTCTGGTGAAATACATTTTTGTTTTTTCCCTTTTTATTTGACAAGGAACTACTAACAAGGAGAAAATATTTGAACCTCCTTGGGCTTCATCATGTATTCACTTATCATATTTTTAACCCTCTCAGTGTACATCTTGACTCGCCACTGGTCGCTCAGTGACTCAACCACCATCATTTAACAAGTCATCCGATCTATGAAATACAAGTGTGAATCCTCTCTTTACACCAATAGTACAAATGAAACAAAACGTATTTTAATACTTTTAACGTTGTTTTAGTATTCTACAATAATCTCATGTTTCTTCAATCCAAATAAGCCAAAAGAGACACAACAGTGATGTTCTCCAGGCTACCGTCCACTCTTTGCCTGTCTTTTCTAGTCTCCAACTTGAATTGCTTCATCCACAGTCTTATTGAAACCCATGGAATGTTGGACATAGCAAAACCACAGTCCATATCTGTGAGGTAAAGCTATAATACAACTTGAGGTAGTTTTTGTCATCCCTGTACTTCTTACTTATGCAATTCATAACAATTTTTCTTTTCCTAAGATTTTTCGCCACTAAAAACTGAATCTCGTCCTGCCACTAATTGTAAAAAGTCACTCTTTTCTTGTTACCTTCTTATGCCTTTTTCTAGTAGCTCCATGTAAAAAAGTCTTACCTGGAGTTATTTTCGGCCTTAACCCCCTTAATATCATTGGGACGGCATTCCTCAACCTTGTCCCATTCCCACTCTTAAATAAACCACTGTCCTATCCTCTTTACACTATCTATCATCAGCAGCTAAGTCCCCACAAGCTTTTGAGCTGCAATTCCGGACTGGTGCATTTACTTTTGTCCCCACTTCGTGGTATTTCACTGGGTATGTTGTTGTTGATGACACTAAAGCATTGAACTATTTCATGTCTATCCATTGTGTTGGCCACACCCAGAAGTGTTGTTGATGCTCTAATTAGCACACTTCACATCTGCCTACTCTAATGAATCAAGCATAAGACTGTGCTCACCTATGGACCAAAGTTTCTAATCCTTTGTCCACAATTACCATTTTGGTTGAGATAGAACTCCATTACCAACAATATTAGCTTCACGTGCATAATTACACGTGAAATAAAACCTGTTGTTTGAACTTGATGGTTTAGAGAAAAATTTGGACAGTCATAAGGTACTGAGAAGTACAAGTTCCTTGATGATTGAAAATAAATCCTAGAAAGTGGAATTCTTTATGACTTATATACAATGTTCGCTTTTGTAGGCAGCAGACTCCCAAATTGTTTCAGACTATGTTCGCTACTTCCTGCACCAACACACGTAAGCTTCTTCCCTTGATTAGAATCTGTTCTTATCTTTTAATTATTGAAGTACTTATTATGGTCACACCTTTTACAACTTGCAAACCCCTCAACCCCTCCGCCCAAAACTTCTTTTAATGGTATCTGCTGTGTTCTTTTCTTTTGGCCTGGTTATAAGCCGCAATAATAATTGTTAGCTTCTTCATAGCTATCTTCTTTATTGTAAAATTGGTTCTCTCTTTTTGTGTATATTTTATTGATGTTTGAATCACATCCTCTATAACTAGGGACATGAATTGGCTCTCTTGTTTGTGTATCTACTTTTCGAAGGAAGTAAATTTATAGTGTAGCAATATTGTTTGCCGGCATAGTAGGCAAAGTTTTTTTTCTAGATAATCCAACTCAGTATGCGGAGTTATTTTTAGGAACTTCTAATCTTGGGCCTTCTTGTGAATGCAGGATACAGCTGGGCCAGCCAGCTACTGTCAAGGTTGCTGCGAACCTTGCAAGGTTATTATCCTACAACAACAAGGTTTGCTCTGTAACCATTATACTCTTTCTTAGTCTCCCCCATTAATATAAATTTTTATTAGCTATTCGTCACTTGATTTTTCCTCTTTTACTTGTAATGTAAATATCTTTGCATTATTGCTTGAAAATTGTCTATCTCTTTAAGTCCTCTGTAATGCGAATAGATCAGGGTTATGTACTCACGAGTCTCAACAAATAGTGATAACTGGTAATTGTGTTCAAGTAATTTTGTGCCATATTTCGTGCGCATCTTTGATGGTTCAATAAAATATGATGTCAGCCTTTCACCGTCTAGTTGGACATTTTCCTTTATTACCAGCAATCTCTTACCCATCTGATAGTAGTAAAAATTTGGCTGGTCTTAGCTGCACTTTTTGTAAGATCAATATAACCCTGACACTTAGTATTGATTTGAATATCGAACTGTGATTATGTTCTAAACAGAGATGGAAAGCTTTAGAAGTGAAAGTCTTCATATCTAACTCAGGAAATTATGGTAAATTTTGAGTTGATCTCATTATATATGTTTTCTCCAGACTTATAACATCACTTTTGCTTTTGTGTTTTTCTTTAGTGAACTTAAACCGTTTAATCATTATGAATTATTTCCTGGTAATTGGTGCCACTATAATATTTATAGAGATGTATGCAGTTTCACCACACATGCATTTTCTTTTTCCCTCTCATGGATATATTTATGCCAAATGAAGTAGTGCATAAATACCCATTTGGTATTTAAATTAATTAGCCCAAAAGGTTTAAACAATAGCTTTTACAACTCTTGTTCACAAGCTTACCATTGCTACTATGCTGTTATTATGTAAATAATTGCTTGGAATTTTGGGTGAACTTGTCTTTTTTTGCACTCTGTTTTCATGTGCTGTTCTATAGATCCCCACCAAGTGTATTCCAGAATCTTTAACTGTCCGTAAAAAAAGGGATCATTTTTTTTTTATGACAAAAAGTACGTCAAATGTAATATTTACTTGATAAAGATGGTGGCTGGACTAGCTTGCGTGCACCTCGACTGTTCATCTGGAACCTGCTATCTCCCACCAACACAGTTACTGGGTAACTTTGCCTGCCAAGGCTTGGCATAGGCAAATGGGAAGAAATCACCTAGTGCTTTCTTATCGTAATTAGGATTTCAACGTGGTCGCAAAGGTTTATACCCACTTCATTGACCACTAGGTTACATACTGTTGAGAATTAGAGAGAGCACACTTTTATTATTTAATTATATTTTCAACATATACTAACAACAACATACCTGTGGATTCCACAAGTGGATCTGGGGAGGGTGGGGTGTATGCATACCTTACACCTACCTCATGTGAGGTAGAGAGGAATCACTAGCCAGTTACATCATAACTAATACACTACCTAGGTTAATTTATGATGTACCTTTTTATATTTATTTGATCCATTGCTCTCTGTATGTCCAGGATAGGCTCCAAACAGGACTGATTGTTGGTGGTTGGGACAAATATGAAGGAGGAAAGATCTATGGAATCCCTCTTGGAGGCACAGTCTTGGAACAACCTTTTGCTATTGGAGGTTTGCTATTAATCTGTACTTTTTAGTCATCTCGTGCATGTATACCTCCAGAAATACTTGGCTTTTGAAGGTTCTTTTCAGCTCACAGAAAATTTGTCCCCTATTCCTGAAACTACTTAAGCAGACTCTTCAGTAGCCCCATTTGGGGGGGAAAATTGATCTCTACAAAGAGCTGGAAACTGAATTGGAAAGAGACAACTAGATACTCCAGGCCATAGATCTCATTGCAGAGTTCAAGAAAACTAAACAAATAAACTGCTTGTTTTGGTTGCTGCATATAAATGGCTATGGGTGTATGAAAGAGAGACCGAGTTTGAGGGGGAGGGGGGATGCCAATCACTTTGCAAGGGAGATGAGGAGCTGCATTGTTGACTAGAAGAAGAATAGGTAGAGTTAGATGAAACCAGATCACAAGAGTGACGGTAGCATATGTATGTTTTCCAACAGGTTTCGATTTATCATCATCATAACCTGGTAGTCTGGTTCAGGGAAACCCATGTTTCTCTTTTGAACGGGAGTGTAAAGTGCGTTTAGCTGTTTCTCGAGATGGCTCTGTTTGTGGAGGATTTTCCTAGAATTCATTCTTAGATCCAGAAATATTCTTCACCGCCCTTGTCCTTTTCTTTTCTGGAACGAATAATGAGAATGGAAACAAATGAAAATGGATGAGAAAGAATACTTTGGAACTAAATTAAACCAAAATAAAAAGAACAGCAGAACTAGACATGAGCTACAAGGTTCACATAATTGGTTTTTAATATCCTATATGTGATGGAATAGGTTATTTGGTTGGATTCAAGCTTTCTTGGATGATATGTTCTCCATACATTTTGGTGCTCTAGTGAAATTAAGATATCATGTCATAATTTTTGGTTGCTGTACATGACAATGGGTTCAATCCCTCCTCCTGGGAAGATAAGATGCTGATTTAACACCCTAGTGTCTTGTTTGAAATATTTTCAGAATGTTGCTTAATGAAGTATATTGAGAGCTGAACTTCACAGCTGATAATTGGTTTAGTTTATTAGTTTCCCTGTGCAAGATGCTCCAGGTGCTGCCAGTAGGCTGAACAATATTCTGTTCATTGGCTGTTACTTTCAGGATCAGGCTCTACTTATTTGTATGGTTTCTTTGACCAAGCATGGAAAGAGGGAATGACTCAAGAAGAAGCTGAGGTTAGTTTCATGTAGTTTGAATTTACAAGCTGTCTAATTTGTACGACATTGTTGGACCATCAAGATGGCTTCATCTTCATAGCTATGCGTTTATCTTCATCTGTCATGATTTAGAGTTTATAATGCAAGTATCTATTGAAAAAGTACTTGTTCAGAAGTAGAAAATTTCTTATTAATTTGGTACACAGCTTTCAAACCAATAAAATACTTTTGTTAGTAAAGAAGGGGCTGCATAGTTTGGTTCACATATTGACACTACAACCAACCACCTTGGTCATTGAATAAGATCTTGAACTTGCATCTTTCCTATGGGCTCTGTTATTTAATTAGGTAAAGTTTTCTGAAATTCTTCTCGATGGGATAGCTTTTTTGACTAGGCATAATAGACTCTTCTTTGTGGGCATGATGATGCTCTGATCAATCATCTGTATTGGTATTGCTTCTCTATTAACTAATCTGCTTTAGTGATAATTCTGAAGATTTAAGTTTGTTTCACCTTTTCTGCAGAAACTGGTGGTCACTGCAGTATCTCTTGCCATTGCACGAGATGGTGCTAGCGGTGGAGTTGTTCGGACTGTAACTGTGAGTTAATTAATCTGCTTTATGCTTGTTCAAGTGACATAATATGATTCAATGAAATTTATTTGCTTACTGAGTCTCTAATAGCAAATTATTCAAGTTAAAATAGACAGTCTTCGCTTATAAGAAATAGAATAAAGAACTTGCGTCCCCACCTATTCCTTTTATCAAAGCCCTAGGAACCTTTGATATACTTGTTGGTATTAGTAGTTGTAGGCTTGTAGCATCAACTCCATGAAACTCTACTTCTTAATTTACCTACATGTTTAGCACATTTCACTGTGTCCAAGAGCCCTTCGTTGTGCTTATATCTAAGCCTTGTAATTTTGGAGTGTGGATCAATTCTCGATTGTAAGAAACTAGTGTTATTTGTAGTGAACAAAATATTACTTCCACTCTAGGTTTTAAAGAATTTTCTCCCTGATACGGTGCTGTTTGTGTGCTGTATTGCTCATTTGAAAGTCCAGCATAATTTCAGCTTTTGTTAGGATTGGTGGAGTCTGTAATATTTTTACTGGCTATTGTTTTTGCTTTGGAACACTTTTATTTAATAACGGTAGTGTCCTGGATTTGCTTTGGAACACTTTAAGCAATATCCTCATCCTATTGAAAGAGGGGTCTCATGTCTCATTATATAAGCTTGTCTTTTTGAACAATATTGATAACCAGATTAACAAAGATGGAGCTACAAGAAAGTTTTATCCATGCGATTCCCTTCAACTTTGGCATGAAGAACTAGAGCCGGTGAACTCCCTGCTGGATGTTATGTCTGCATCAAGTCCTGTTCCAATGGTCAGTTGAAACTAGAGTCTCTTTGCCCCTATTAGCATGCTGTAGAATTTTGTTAGCTGCTGCTGCTATACACGTACTCTTATCGCGTGTTCTGGATCATTTCTTTTTTTTCCCTTTTGTCCAGCTGCAACTTTAGAACTCTTATCATGTGCTGGGGTCATTGTACTTGTCCCTTCTTTTAATCCTGCCCTGCAATGGGTTAAACATAGTTCTGAATTCTGACTGTTTCTGGCCCATATTCGCCTAATTCAGTTCTTCTAAAAAAATTGGGCTAAGCAAGTAGCCTACAGTGACCCATCAGAAATTTTATCAAAATAATTTTAATTTTCTTTTGTTTGATAGGTGTGTATGTAGTTTTATTAGTTTTTTTTTGGTAATTAAATAAATAAAACTCGGTAGGAGTTGAGAGATTGAGTTCTAATTTATTATGGAAAAAGAACACTTGTATCTCAAAAAGGAAAACTATTACAAGCGGCTACCTCCTTATTTTCATACCCCCTTTTTTTAACTGATAATGTGTGTTTAGTGCTTGAACCATCAAAGTGTATATATGCTCTGATGGTATCAAGCAGTGGTTCAATAAAAACACTACTTAGTTACTCCTTGATATTATTAGAGTATGTACATACTTTGATGACATCAAGGAAGAACAAACTGTGTTTAAGTGAAAAGACTGTTCAATTACTGCTTGATACCATTAAAATATATATACATACTCCAATTGTATCAAGGATGAACAAGAAGTGATTCAGTGAATAGAACAAGGGGTAGTCCGGTAAATAGTTTGAATTGTGGAGCCAATCAGGATAAATATATTGGGTTGGATCCAATTGGGATAATATTTGTAACCTAAATATTTTAGGAAAAATTGTATGAAATAACAAACTATTAATTCAAATTAAATGCTATAGTCGTAGTTTATTTTAATTGTAATTCGCAGCAAACATCCCCTTTTTTTGCCATATGATTCGATGTACAAGTAGCCATTTTATACATTTCGGTATAAAATGTGTTTGTGTTTGTATAAAGCGAGAGAAAAGTGTATATACAAATATAAATATATATATTTTCGTCCTATACACTTATAATTATACAAATACAGATCTTATTATACAAATTACAACGTATAAATGAATTTATACAAAACTGAACAATTTGTATAAAACAGGATGCTTGTAGCGAATTATACAAATCAAAAGCTCCATAGCAAACATAAAATTTGTTATGGAGCGCAATTATGCAAACTATAGTTATAACATACAAATATGATTTTTGTGTTTGTTATACGTGAAAGTTGCTCTATATTTTACCTAATGAGTTTACCCTATTTTGGTCCAAGCCCAAACTAACAATCCACTTATTTAACTAAATTTGTTTTGATCCAAATGTAGACTTTGGTCTTTCAATAACACACTAGAGTTGGTCTTTTGATTACACATGAGCCGTTTTGAAGGTGGCAAAGAAAGGCATCATATCCTAACAAAATGTGAAGGCTCAAATATAGATTTTTTTTTAAAATAACATCTCAAAAAACAAACAAAAAAAAAGACAAAAACTATATAGCACAGTAATTTAGTGGTACTATATAAGATCTATCAACGGATTAGGTTTAACGATCGTTACTATTGATGGAACTTATATATTGTATAAAATTAGTGCGCTATATGAAGAAAATACATCGCAGTACACTCACTTTTTTTATTTGTTATTTACTTACATACACATATATTGCAGGACATTTCTCTCCTTTTTGATAGCTTTAATGTTCAGGTCTGTACATGCACATTAATTATTTAGCGGATTTCCTCTTTCTATTAAGAAATTCTAAAGAAAAAGTCCCTCGGTCGTTAGGTCTAGGTATGGTTCTACCTGCATGCCATAGCTTATGAGTCAAGGCTGTTCTGGGTACATTTTTCTATGGAATCTTTCACCAATATATATAAATATCTGATAATTTAATCTATTAAAATTTGGATAGATAAAGAAAAAATCACGTAATATTTTTGCTTTTGCTGAGAGTTTAAACTTACAATTTTATAATTATATAATCCCACTTTATTGACTATTTAGGCATACCTTTCTTGTGCCAATATATAATATGACATTTCTCAGGCTAAGAAAAATACTATTAATTGGGTTTAAGGTCTTATTTCGATCTACCTAGTTTTAATGTCAAAATGTTGTAATACTACGTTATGTAACATTGTTACTTTGAGTTTTATTATCTACTCTTTTTTATATCGTTGTGTTTGGGCTAGCTTTTGCATATCTCGATTAATTTTATGAGATATTTGACATCTCCTACCAGAAACATGTATTAGGTAACTCTATCCATCAAGGTTAGGACAAATAGAAAGAATCACCTACTGTTTTTACAAGTTGTCACGTTATTTTTTGAAAGTCAAATTATATAAATTAGCCAATGTTTTTATTAAGACTTGTAACTTATACAATACACTTTTTGTATAGTTATTAAATTTTAATTTTAAAAATATTGAATTAATCTAATTTAAACTCCAAACACCAGTCAAATTAATTTTCGAAAAGTAAAACGCGATAACTATTTTAGAATAACGGAAGTAACATCTTTATACGGTTTTCATCTTGAGCTGTTATTTTGTATATTGGTATATCTAATGAATAACAATATCAAACTTTATGGTAGAAGATTAATATGGTGAGGCAAGATGTAACATATGGAGCACTAAACTTTTTATATTATTAAAGATGAGAATTATTACTATTTTGATAATAGAAAAGTGAAGCATGCTAGGAATTTCACGCGTAATAATTTAGTTAGATGAATAAATTTTAGAAAAGGCATAATTGCTTCTATCATTATTATTGTTAGTACTACTTATTAACCAAAAAAGCAGCATCAAATAATTTCAAAATTAAGTTTAGTTACTTTGCTAAATAATTTCATATACTTGATTAATCTTTTGAGACATTTACTCTAAAAAAAAATCTCATATGTTAAAAACTTGTGAGAAAATATCATTTTAGTCAATAAGGATAAAATTTAGTCCATATTAATAATGATAAGGGTACATTTTATTTTTTTTTAACTATTAACAAATGTCAAAATATATATATTTTTTTAAAACTTGGGATATTTTCAAAGGCCTCCCTCGAGGTTTTGCGCTATAACACTCATCTCCCTCATAGTTTACGATATTACGCCTACGTTCCTTACTTTAATATTTTGTAACCATTCTTTTAACCTTTTTAAAATAAATATAAAATAATTATGATTTGATAAATTTGCCCCTTTTTATATTAATATTTTCATACTAATCCATATATTTTAAAAAAAAGACTTATTTAATAAATACATTAAAGATAAATCAATATGAAGAAATGAGTATCGATCTTTGTTTGGTAAAAAAAAATGTGTGTATAATATATGTTATAGTATTAACTTATTTGTGTTGAGTTATTTTTAAAGTATTTATTAAATAACTCGTGTTTATAAAAATATGAAGAAATTAATAAAAAGTAGGACAAATTTGTCAAGTCATGATTAATTTATATTTATTCTAAATAGATTTAAAGAATGGTTACAAAAATCAAAATAAGGGAGTTAGGCGTTACAATGTAAACCACAAGGAAAATGAGTATTATAGCAAAACCTGAAGGGAGATCTCTAAAATTATTTCGAAAAACTTCTAATTATGTATTCATAACCGACAATTATATTCCATTTTGCGTTGCATCAAAAAATTAGTATATATATATATATATAAAGTCATGGAAATGTTATGCGATTTCATAGAATATAATGTCAATTGCATTTAATTAAGATGCTGCCTAACTGATTTGATTTGATAGCATTTTCCAGGAATTTGCTCACTCATTCTTATCTCATTCAAACTTAATTTAATTAATTCTTATCATTTAAATTTGATATTTTAATTTCTTTAATTCAAGGTAAAATCTATCTGTAAAACTGCTTTTGTTCCAAAGTCAAATGATTATTTCTAAATGCCAATTTTGCATCTCGTTTAATTTCTAATGTGATTTCTCAATTTCTAAATATTACTTCCAATAAATGACTGATCAAAATTTGATTAATCTTTAATATCGTTGGTTTTGTTATAAATAGCTCTACGAATGACACAACAAGAAAACTGTGAATTATATGGGGATTTTCCTAGGGATTAGTATGAAAATTTGCAGGAAAATAAGTTTCCTACGGATTTTCATACTAATTCCCAAGAAAATCCCCATGTAATTCACACTTTTCTTGTAGTGGATGAATCGGATCGATTTGAAAAATAAAAAGATTTGTATGAATTACGTTCCGTTATCACTTTGTGGGAACTTGTTAGGTATGAATATACTAAATAAACGTGACTTGATTGGTGAAATTAAATTATATCTTTCTTTCAAAAAGTGTGTTTTTTTATCGATATATAAATAAAATATTTTATTGTTAATGAACAAGATAATTGAGAAATTGTCCATATGTAAAATTAGAATTATTGATATAAATCTTTTCCACCGAAAAGAAGAAAATTATTTTCAGGTAGAAGTGAAAGTGATGTGGACTATATAAAAATCAAAATCAATCTACTTTATAAAAAGAAGATATCAATGAATTTCTATGAAATGATTTCATGAGATTCAACCAATACCAATTATGCATTCAACATAACTTCAATGGTATCAAATTTAATGTACCCCTCAAGGCACGATTCTAAGACCCTAAAGTTAGATTTCCAATTGTAGATTTTAGTTTAGGATGTCAATAATAAGCATAGTTGCTTACGTATTACAATATAAATGTCTTATATATTGTCTTTAGCAGAAAACAGACTTGATGAAAAAATATCAAAAAGAGAAAGCCTAGCAACAAGTCCTATCAACCCCCCCCCCCAACCGCACACACAAGATCCCATTTAATTAGTGATGACATTTACCACGATGGAGCCACATACATAAAAAATGAAATTTTAAATTTTTTTCTCATATATATATATATCTGAACAATTGAAAAAGTCTAGATATACCAAATTAAAAAGATTCGAAACTTCAAATGTACTCTTGCATGCGTGGCTTTTAACATATCACTCAAATCAAATCAAATTTTTATGATAGAAAAATTGTTATCGAT